GCCCGAGCCCCCGGAGCAGCCTGCAGCCCCCGGGGCCGACGGCTGGGGTCTGGCGAGCGGCGGAGGCGCCCGGGACGCCTGGCCCCGCAGCCCGCTGGCGCCCAGTGAGATGATCACGGCGCAGAGCGCGCTGCTGGAGAGGGAAGCGCAGGAGTCCAGCACTACCGACGAGGAGCTCGCAGGCCGAAGGGCAGCCAACGGGAGCAGCGAGAGGGGCGGCGCCGCCAGCACCCCCGACTACGGGGAGAAGAAGCTGCCACAGGCGCTTATCATTGGGGTCAAAAAAGGAGGGACCCGCGCGCTGCTGGAGGCCATCCGAGTCCACCCAGACGTGCGGGCGGTGGGCGTAGAGCCGCACTTCTTCGACAGGAACTACGAGAAGGGGCTGGAGTGGTACAGGTAGGACCCTGGACTATGTGGGATGGGACAGAGGCGTGGGGGAGACTTCGTAGAGGGGGAACCCATCAGCTTTCCACCAGCTTCCAAAGGCACACACCGTCCTGAGACCTCTCAGCCCCACGAGGGCTCTGCGAACCCTGGTGGGGCTGTTCAGGCGGAGCGGCCAAGAGGGCTGGACACTGGCTTTAATCACTTAATTTCAGGGCGAGGGTAGGAGGTGCCCCCCTGCCTGTCCCAGGCCCCTTGTCTAAGGTTAAGCTTTTACAATCTGTCCAGCTCCAAGCCTGGGGAGCCCCTAGCCCTTCTGCCCTGGAGATGTTCCCTAATCCAGTTTCTCTTGGGGTTCTGAGCTGCTGCGTAGGGGACGCTGCTGAGGAATGAACCAGGATAGCTAGATTGATTTAGGAGCTTTGAGATCCCCTGGAATCTCTCAAAATCGCCCCCAAACGCATCTGCGTGGCTGGAATCCAACTTTATTATTTCAGGTCAAAGCGAATGAATAGGGAGCGTTTACAAACGTGATGCTGCCGAGTTTGGGCTCCAGTAAAGACTTAGGATGGTTTCCACCTCCAGAACTTTCTCTCCTCCTCAGCTGAGTGGACACGATTTTGCATCAGGGGAATCAGTTTCTGTATGACAGTTGGTGCCCTGAGAGTTTTTGTGCCCTGCACCTGTGCCCCTTCTCACCCCGTGCTTCCTTTGTAACAGATCGGAGCTTGTGTTTGGTGAGATGGTCATCTCTCCCCTTTCCTACCCTACACCTGTGGTGAGAGGAAGAGAGAAGAGAGGGCTTGAAAGTTAAGTGCAGATGAAATAAATTAATAATCCAGTTTTCTTGCCAGCCATAACATTCAAAACAACCCCCTGGCTGAGATGTCCAAAAGGCAGGCCTCCTTCACTTTTCTTTTTCTGATTCCTCCTGTTTCATATCACTCTGGAAAATGGATTTGGATGGATAGCTCCACTTTGGTTGCATATCAGTAATTAATTGCAATTGTCAAACAGAAACACAGGCTTTGTCAGCTAAAGTGATGTTATCATCTTAACAGAGCCAATAGGTAAATAAGGATTGTTTCCTGACAGGTCGTCTTCCTGTTCAGGAGATGTGCTTGCTTATAAGTTTAAATTAGAGCCTGGGAAAGTTTTAGAAATAACTTCAGAAAGATATAGCACATGTGTGTATTTTGATTGATTTCTTCCACTTTTAAAAATATGCCTTATGCTTTAAAAGCTTGAGAGGAGCACACTTAGGCATAAACATTCCAGCACATTAAAATGAAACAGCAAATGTGTCTGGTAATGTCTTGTCTGTTTCAACAGGGAGAACTAATTGCAATATTTTAGGAGGCTTCAAACAGCCCTTTCCTATCAAAACATAAAATAGCAAATGCCTAATTTAACAGGAAAATCAGTATTTATAACACCACAAGCCATAGCTTCCAGTTTATAATTAAAAAGGTGTTAGGATGATTAATGCAACAACAGCAAAATAAAGAAAGGGTATGATGTCTGGGAAGGTTTCAATTGTTTAATTGTTGATTGGAGGAATGTTCTGATGTCTTCTATGGTGTAGCTTTGGACTTAGGAGGGTGACTGTGGCTTTTTCCAGTTCTAATTTTAAAGCTGTGTGTCTTGTGAGAAGTGTCAAATGCTCTTTGGGGAAGGAGGCGTAAGGATCAAATCTTTCCAACATTTGTCTGGTTGCTTCGCAGCGGCTGTAAATAAAGAAGGGGGTGATTTATTCAAATGACTTAAAATAAAGTTGATAGAGGGTCCCTGGTGGAATGTATGTCAGGAAGACCCATCATAAGATCTAGAAATGTTACTGTATGAAAGAACAGAACACACTAGATTTTCCCGTGCTTGGGTATTCCGAGGCTGGGAAGAGAAGGTCTAAACTGCCTCGCTGTCATTGCACGGCTCCTGAAGATACTGTTCTAGCGCCGTGGTACTCCTTGTCTGCAGCTCCCAGCAAGCACTTGTGGTATTGGGAGTTCAGTTTCGATATTTGGTAGCCACCCCTAGCACTGTTAATCTGAAGGGGTATGGTTAGAACTGGAGTCATTTGATCTTCACTTAGGAAGGCCAAGTGAGAGTTCTCAGTCTCCCAGTGTGTTGCTCCTGGTAAACAACAAACAAACCGTTTGTCATGGAGTTGATTCCTACTTATGACGACCCTGTATGTAGTCAGAGTAGAATTGTGAGCTTCACAGAGTTTCCAGTGGCTGAGTTTTTTGGAAGGAGATTACCAGGTGTTTCTCAGAGGTGCCTCTGAGTGGAATAGGACCTCCAGCATTTTGTTTAACTGGGAAGCTCTTAACTATTTGTACCACCTAGGGCTCATGGTGGTGTAGTATCTAAGGCATTTGACTGCTAAACAGAAAGCTGGTGGTTCAAACCTACCAGCGACTCCTTAGAAGGAAGACTGGGCAATTCACTTGCGTAGTGATACCATTTCGGAAACCCAAGGAGGGGTTGCTATGAGTCGGATGCGACTGAACGGCAGTGAGTTTGGTTTTTGTTTTTTTCAGGGACTAATGGTGGCACCCTCGTGGTGCAGTGCCTAAGGCATTTGACTGCTAACCAGAGGGTTGGTGGTTTAAACCTACCAGCCACTCTGTGGAAGGAATATGGGACAGTCTAATTCAGTAAAGATTTACTGCCTCAGAAACTTGATAGGGGTCGCTATGAGTTGGAATCCACTCTACGGCAGTGAGTTTTTGGTTTAGGGACTCATGATAGGTCCTTGTGGATGTCTGGTGGTGCCAGAGAAGAACCTCTTAGGGACAAAAAGCTTGCTGGCAGTATGTGTCAATGTAACAGAGGAAACTTGGCTGTTCAGAATTCTTCCAGAAGGTCCTTGTGCTCACAGAAGCCGTGTGCTGAGTGGCTTTGCACAGCTCTCTGGCCTCAGTACAGACATAAGTGCTTTGAGGGCAGCTGTGAGATTTTCATTAGCTCCATCTTTTTGGGCAGTTTGCTCTCTCACATGTGGGATGAGGGGACAACATCCTCCCTCTTTGATGGAGAAGGAAACTGAGACACTGATAGAAACCAGTCATATCACCCCTTCCTCTTGGTTCCCTGGTCCAACTCTGAATCTTTCAGATGGTAGCATCTGTATACTTCCTTCCTTTGAACCACATAGCCTACACATCTGACCTGGAATCCCATTCTACTATTGGCCTAATTAGAGATCTGCAGGTTAGGAAAAGATTTTGACATTTCTCCCCATTGATTTGTCTTTTGTTTGTTTTCAGTGCGCTTCTCAACAGCCAACTAACTGCAGGTTGTTCTGGTTCTTGTGTTATCAGCAAGGGTGGGGAGCAAGGAGGAATCAGGCTGCTCCCAGCAGAGTGGTTTGTGCTTCCTTCTTAGGCAGCAAAACACACCCCGTGTTTTTATTTCCTTGGTGTCACTCCAGTTTGACTTGCTCCTATGCTGTTAACTTAATGTGCTTTAAAAACACATTTGAGATTAGAGCGTGTGCATAAGGTCATATCAAGACCAGAGGGATCCATGGATTGGGATGGGTGTGAAAGCTATGGAGGAGCAAGGCAAACTGGGCTGACACAGGCCACTGCTTCATACGTGAGAGTAGACTGGCCCTCTCCCCCGCAAGAAAAGAGCATAGTGCTCTGGTAGCATAGTGGTTGAAGCATTTGACTGCTAACCAAAAGTTTGGTGGTTCAAACCCACCACCTGCTCCCTGGGAGAAAGATGAGGCAGTCTGCTTCTGCCTTGGAAACCCTGTGGTGTAGTTCTACTCTGTCCTGCAGGGTGGTAGCTATGAGTTGGAATTGATTCTATGATGGTGGGTTTCGTTTGGTTTTGATGTCACTCTAATTATCACTAAATCTGGATTTTGATTTGCTCCTATGCTATTAATTTAATGTGTTTTTAAAACACAGTTGAGATTAGAATATGTGTAGAAGATCATTAGGACCATGAAGATTCACGGGTTGGGGTGTATGTGAAAGCTATGGAGAAGCAAGCCTCACTTGGCTGACAGGCCAATGCTTGATACATGAGGGTAGATTAACCTTCTCCTCTACCCAGAAAAGAGCATAGTCACATCATGCCTTTCCGTATTAGCTGATACAAGCTGTCCAGTTAGAGTGCTTAAACTCTCGGATGGCAGGGGACCTCCTGGCAGGCCAGCTGACTGCCCTGGCAGAACCATCAAAGTGATGGCGACTACTTTGATGGTGACTGTTTCAGCTGTGTCCTCCCTCAGGCTTACAACCTGTTACAGTAACTGTGACCACTTTACTTTGGGAATCGACCCACCAGGATTCCAAGTTATCTCCACTGTCAACAATTATTACACGCATCCCATTGGCTGGAGGAAGATCACTCAGGAAAATAGCTTCAACAATCCTGTTCATATACCCAGAGGAAATTGATCAGTAGCATCATTTGCATATGGTATGTGTAGACAGAAGGAAGGAGCAAGGGAAGTCATTGGCATTGATGGGGCACTTACTTTGGTTCTGGCTGACACTTCCTAGACGTATTATCACATCTGAGTGTCATAACCCTTTGGGCTAAATAGCAGCATTCTCATTTTACAGGTAATTCAGAGATGTTAATGACTTGCCCAAGGTCACTCTGCTGGTCAGAGGTTCAGCTGAGATTTGCATTCACAGTGCTTGCTTCTTCCACAGTAACACATTGCCACCCATTAAGCACAAAAAAGATCATTTCATTCATTTGTTCAACAAATATTTAATATTTAGAACGTGCCCAGTAAGGAGCTCTGGTAGTGTAGTGGGTAAGGCATTTGGCTGCTAATCAGAAGATCGGCAGTTCAAACCCACCAGCTTTGCCGCAGGAGGAAGATGAGGAAATCTATTTCCAGAAAGACTTACAGCCTTGGGAACCCAGTGGGGGTCACTGTGAGTTGGAAAGGACTCGATGGCAGTGGCTTTGGTTTTGGGATGTGCCCAGTACTGTTTTTGGTGCTAGGGATGGAGTGGTGAACAGACCGATGAAGCACC